CTTTCTCAGTTTCTATCTTCCAGAAATATTATACCCCCTTAGAAACTGTCTTTAAAATAATGGAACAGTAATTTTACTCTTTGCCCATTAGTTCCTTCTCTATGAACTTAGAAATAAGAAAGAGAGATAAAGTGCAGAGGTAGAAAGTTCTACTTTTGGAAATTGATTCCACAACTGTCAGGACCAGCCACACTGGAATGAAATATAATTGAAAGTGAAGGGCACTCATGAGATCTCTCAAATTAGCTGTCCTCAGTATATCTTGTGCTATCTTTAAGTTTCTACAGAATTAATATAGGATGCTTTTAGCATGTGCAGTTATATCTGAAGCATTCAGTAGCTACATTTTTTTATAGACTTTGCCAAAATATCTTACGTAACACCTTGTGAGCATACAGCTCATATTAATTTCCAAGTATGACTGACACATTATTAATGGTCCTGCAATTCAGATACCTCCAATCTTATATTTCCCTTTTCTTACTTAAAAAATAGTTTTGACCTTTTGATGTACGGAAGTACATCACTAAATTACCCCTGTAATGCTGCAGTAGCTCCCAGCTCCATGTCAGGCTGCATCAATCCACCAGACACAGTGACCGCCTGCCAACACCAAGTCCTTGCATTGCTTTGAAGTAGTTTGATTAACACCACAGTTTGGAAATCCCTGGCTCATTCTCCCTTGGGCAATCTCATATTAATAATTCTTTGTTGTCAAGGTAACTTACCAGCTATTGTTGGTTAATTATTTATTTAATGACTTTGAAGAAGAATAAGCTAATCTCTGCCAGCCTCTAGCTGTAAGAGTTTTATGGGGGAGAATTTAGTGTTTTTAACAAGCTAGTAAAGAAAGAAATATTTATATCATGGATTATTAATTTTGTTCTGGCTAAATTAATGAAAATCTTTTTGGAACTATTTTGTTCTCAGTGTCTTTAGTACCATATCCTGCAAAGTTGTTTTTCAGTGGGTGATCATCCCAGTTTGGCATTCTGACAAGGTTTTTAAAGATCAGACTGTTCTGCAAGCTCATCCAAAAACTCATCTGTTCTGAACGCTTTGTGGAAATCAATCTTATTCCATCAACCTACTTGTCAAAATTTTACTCGTGCCCTTGTTTCTTGCACATATAATATAGCCAGCTGGGTTTCTGCTTCAACTGGATAAAAAGCTTTATAAAGTTTCCTGTTATGGGCATTACATTTGACTTCAGAGGACTACATTTATCTCTTTCTTATTCTTTATATATGATTTTCCATGTCTATCTCTCTTATTTTTTTGTAAGTGGAAAAGAGACAGTTTAGAACTTGCTTTCTTCTGTTGGCATTGAAAATCCTGTGCTTTGGGCCATCAGTGTTGTCAGTATCACCTCATCTGGAGAGAGAATACTGAAGAACTTCAGGATTTATAGGCAGATCCAGTTAGCCCTTGATACACCTAGTATGTACACCTGGATGGCATTTGGATGGTGTTTAGTGGGATTACTGCTTTTAAACTGTTTAGATTATTTCAGACATACTCCCACAGTGTTAATTTTATTTTTATTTTAATGCATAGTCTGCTTCTTTCAAAAATCTTCCCTTTCAAATATTAGTTTCGAAATCTGTCTACAAATGATTTTTTATGAAGGTCTTCTTTCTTTCACCGGGTTATTCATGATGTGTTCAGTTGTAAAATAGTTGGGTTTTTTTTTCTGGCTATGTTTTTGAAGAAAGATTTCTCTTTAGAAATGTAATTCCCACTACAGTTTGTTTCTTCCCATATTTAGCATTTATACAGTTAATAAGTTAAATCTATGTGAGATGGTATTTATATTAAAACATATCACAGGGACACAGTGTATCTGAAATAATTTAGCATAATCCAAAATATATAGTAAGATTAAAAATGCAAAAACAATACCCCAGCAAACTGTGTCATAAAAATAATAATGTTATTCCTCACAGGATTCAAAGTCAAACTTCTCCACTGAAGAACTATTCCAGGCATTGCTTTAACATATTTGAAGAGATGTTGAGAAATGTGGGAGGGTATTCCTTGAAACCTCTGCTCTCTGCATAAAAATTTCTTTCTTCAAAGATTTGACCATTAGATACCTCTGTAGGCATCTCTTAGCAGTTGCTCCTGCAGAACTGTGTTTTTATTTAAGAACTGTCTTCTCTTCAGGAATGACTGCAATTTAACTACTGTAAGCAGAGTTATTTTTTGGAGATGTGTTTAGCTGCTTAAACTTAAGATCCTGATCCTGTAGTTTTGTCCAACTAAATACTTATTCTCATTTGACCTATTTACACTGCTGTTATTACACAGTTGGTAAGTGTTACTGGGGACAGTAAATATTGATGAAGCCCTATTAAATCATTCACTTTCTCCCATAAAGGACTGATGAGCCACATTTTTTCTTTTCTTTCCATTACAAGTCTGTATTTGCACATCTCTAGCAAAGTTTAATTTGAACTTCTGGCCAGATGTTCAGTCATGGTTAAACTGTTTCTGAGTACCACATTATTGAAAAGTATCCTTGAACTGACTTCACTGTCCATTGCATGACAATCTCTCTCTGAAGCCTGATGGCATGTATTTTATACAAGGTGGGTTAGCAGAAGAATTGGTTAAAAAAACCCCAACCAGCCATAGGTG